AAGTGAGATCAAGGGCCCACTTTGTAATGTAACAGTTGAAACTAAACCTATCTACAATGGTTTGTGTTGGATTATTTGTGGGGGTTTTTTCCCCCCTTCCTTTTAATAATATTCAACCATGCCACCCACAGAGAAAATGCGTTGTTAATTAAATCTGGGAATGTATAAGGAGCTTTGTTAAGATTTTTTGCAGCGGACTTAATTATGTGTCCAGTATTCTTTTCGTACAGAGGACATAGCAGATGGGAGAAAGTGGACGCTTACTGTACAAGAAGAGAAATAGGGCCATGCGTAACTATTACTGCTAGTCAGAGTAGATTTTTTTTTTTTCCCTCTTGGCTAACGTGCACTATCGAAACACTAAAGCATCCTGAAGTGAGGTAAGAGGGGAGGATAAATAGGGTAGGTGAGAAGTGCAATGTATTAAAGAAAGAAATTATGCAGAAGTTCACCTGCTGTGGTCATGATCAAGACATGGAGAAGAGCATCTGAAATAGAATAGATGATTTAACATCAAAAAGGAAAAGAAAGGGGAAAAAAAGAATGAGTTAAATGAAATACTGAAATATTGGAAAAATGAAACAGATTTCTAAATTAAACACACGAACGTATACGTAGATATGCATATTCATTACACGTGAGAAAGTAGGAGTGAGTATGGAAAATAAGCCTACATAAACAGCCTTGGTTACAAACGGTTACTACCGCTGCAGCCGTAAAGCTAGAGTGATCTGGTTTCTCTACGTACATTCTCAAACTCGAAGTCAGATACCTAAAACGTACAGTTAGATTCTGAGTAAATCTTTCCGAACCAGATTAGGGGAAATGCTGCATCTAAAAATTGGACCACGGTATATCAAGAGTAAGGTACCTATCGTAATTCCAGCCAGTGTTTCTGACACCACAATAAATCATGATTTTCTTTCCTTCAGATTTCCTATCAATACATTCTGTCCTGCACTTTCTTCCATTTCAGCATGTTTCTTGTCCTCCTTTTGTTCTGCTCTACAGAATGACAAATTGCAAACTTTCAGTTTGACCTGTTCAGGCTCTTAGCAATGTGTCACACGGCCAGTTAGCTTGCTGATGTCGCTTTGTATTATATCTATCTCCACTGCCATTTTCTTCCGCTGACATGAACAGGGATTTGCTAGTAATGAACCACACCTGCTGTTTTTCCTTCCTGTAACTGTCTGAATGAGGGTCATAAAGGCTACGGTATAATTTGAAGCCATTTAGACTTCCAGATTTTAGAAATGACTATCAGCTGGTGGCTGCCAGGTCCTGTTTCCATAACTATTTCCAGGAAATTAATGTCACGTTGGGGAAAACAGTATTACGGATTCAAAATACAACACTTGAAATACATTTTGTTTACCTTGTCAGCAAGGATCCAGTCTCCTTTTTTGCAGACATGCAGCTAAGAATGATAATTCACATTATTTGTCACAGTACAAGCTGCCCACTCCCTCATCCTTCTCCCTTCTTCATTGATGGAAGCAACAACTTCCAGAAAGGTAAATTCACTAATAATACCCCAACTGTTTCATATTGTCAGATACAAGTACTGATACACTTGGATCATCTGTTAGTCAAATAGGGACTTCTTCATCAAATTATGTAAAAGAAATCAATATCTTTCATTAAATAGGAGTTTTACTGTGAGCAAGTCAGAATTGGAAAAAACTGCAGAGCTGCTACGTATCTTGCTCTAGAACACAAAAGCAAGTTAGTATCAAAGCACAAACTTGCTCGCAGTGCCATGTTCCCGACAATACGTCAGGTTTGCCTCTCTTCTTATCGACCACAGCTTTGTCAGTAGAATGCTTAGAAATACAATCTATTCAACTAAATTGTGGATATTTTTTTCACTGTCTCACCAGAACCCAGGTATGAAAACAACATAATTCTGCACACAACTTACACTTTAAAAATCTTAGTCATCCTTATCTTTACCATTCACCCTTGACTACTGTGGGTGATAGAGACCTAAGAGTATGATACCGTCAAGCAATGTCTAAATGCTGCAAGTGAAAAGAAGTCTTTCAGTTCAGTGTTTTTTTGCCTTCCAACTTAATGAAAATCTACATGTTCTTCCACAATAGTGTATGGTGAGGTATGAGATTAAAACTGTGAAACGCGTTTGCATTTATGTAGGCATTAGTTCTGCCTCTCATAACGCTTCAGCAGG